AATATTTTATGAACAAATCAATACCAAAACATTTTCAAACGCACCTAAAATATTATATTTTGATGAGCTAATGTGTAGAAAAGAGTTGATGTATTACATTTTAAAACGCTTTCTGAGTATAGGTAAATTGGACATTACAAACGCATAATATTTATTACAAAATACATATTATTAAATAATGATGTATAACACAGTACAATTACCACATGTTATTTAAAACATTTTGATCGAATTTGACTAGTCAATTAAGAAGTGGTCAATCAACAAACTCATAATAATTTATTATAAAATACATATTATTATTAAATAATAATAGATAACACACAATTGCCAGATGTTATTGAATCCATTTTGATCGAATTTGAGTAGTCAATTAAGAAGTGGTCAATTGAGTGTCAATTGACCAGCTCCAACACTTAATTTGAACCATCGTTAATGTAGGAAAAATTTTCAGAAAACGGATAACTACGCCCCCTCGTGGCTATTACAGGCACCCGAATTTAGTTGTTAACGATTTACTTTTTTTTCAAATTTATAGGGTAGTCCGTTTTCCTGATACCCTCATTAACGTGATTTCCAATTCCACGGGAGCCCCGAAAATAGATTTTTACGCCCCGTGGTGTTTTGGCTATCGAATCGTTACGCGCCGATAAAAAAAATACACAGAGGGACACCGATCCGCGTATAACGGAACGCATTTTGTTGTTCGGAGAACAGGCCTCGAGAAAAAAAAGCCGTAATTCGTTTGATCTGAAAGGCGGTTTACATCATTTAATATATATACGTAGATGCGTCCAACTGGTCCAGCAGACGGGCCAGATGGCCAAAATTTTATAGCGGCCTTGATTTCCCGCCCGCCCGCGCCATGTGAAAAAGTGCCAGTGATTTTTTCCTCGCTTGTAAATCTTTTTTTTTTTTGTCAGTCCATAATTGTAATTTACAACTATTGCGAATCTGTTTTTTTCTCGACAAATTTAATTGAAACGGCAAACAAAAACTGAGAACAGAAGCAGAGTTTTTACGTCCTGTAATATAAATTCAAAAAAATTATAATTTTGTGTATAATGTGTTGCCGATCCTTCTGCGATGTTGGTAAACTCAGTGAACTCCATCTGCTGCCACTTAAACGGTTGTGATATACGACGGTCACTTGAAAAGTTTTCGACCTAACTATGGTGCAAGACATTTTTTCTCCTTTTTTTTAATTTTTTTATATAGCTTTCTTGTAACTAAATTTCTCCCAGCGATGCTCCTATCTCTCCAACCCGCCGCAATAGTCCGCCTCCTCATTTGACGAAAATCGTTGTCCTCCGTGAGCAGTTTTCAGACGAGGGAACAAAAACAAGTCGGTTGGGGCTAGATCTGGTGGGTTTTCGTGGATTTTCGCAATAGCAACCGCTGAGGTATGAGACGACGTGTTGTTTTCGTGAAATAGATTTTTTTTTTTGTAAATGTGGCTGTTTTCTGCAATTTCTGTCCTGAGCTTGTTAAGGAATGATACGTAGTGTAAGAGAAGGAAAACATGACAATTCGGTTTTAATTTGAAAATGTATAATATATTTATTTATTTTTAATGAATAATCAATCATTAAGAATTTTGGTCAAAACGAAAGGGGACCAGTGCGTCAGTGAGGTGACGCGGTTCACATCTGAAACTAAAAAAAATATCCTAAGTACCAAAGATTATTAAAAGTAATAAAACTAACTTAATATTACTGGCATAAAACCTGGAATTGAGTTTATGTTGGCACTAAGGGCAGAACACACATAGTGCGTTTTTCAATCAATACTGCTGATTATTCCGATCGTGCAATGGATACTAAGGGCAGAGACACACGAAGTATCCTGTCGTGCAGTGAACGGTAGCAACACGCAACAGTGCAATAAACAAGTCAGGCCCTAATATACTGAAGGCCAACGACACACGACAGTAGCCCCGATATTTAACCAACAAAGTAACAACGTTTAAAATAGTAAAATAGAGGAGAGAACACACTAATATTTAGCTAAATGCCATGGACATATTTTTTAAATTCAAAATGAAACCTATCAATAAATCCTTTGGTGCTTTGGCATTTTGGCCAATAAAACCAAACCATCATGAAATTCTACTACTGTACTCGTAAGAACACTAACTTTTTAGTCTTCACGTAATGCAAATAATAGCATGCAAGAGCCGAAAAAATATTTCTTTAAATCTTACTGCACCCCAAGAGTATGTTTTTCATAAATGACGCCCTTCTACTACTTGATATTTTGACAGAGTGAGAGGCGAAAAATGCGGTTTTAAGAAAACATTTGACTCTCAAGTGGTTGCTTATTATGAAGTACATATAAAAATTTTATAGGGTAGTTTAGAAAAAATATAGGCCTTACAATAGTGTGCTCCTGGAATGGTTTTTCCTTTTTGAATTTTTTTCCCTTCATAGTCCACTGTTTCGACTGAATTTTTAATTCGGGCTCATAATGGAATATCCAAGTTTTTTCTACAGTAGTTAATTGGTCCCAATACTCTGCTATCTCACTTTAATTCGACGCAACACCATTTAATGAACTTTGGCAATATTTTCATCGGTAGTTACAGTTTCTGGACGTCTCGAACCTTTATCATCTTCTAAGCACTTACGGGCACGTTTAAAGTCAGCTGTCAGAGTCGCCATGCACAGAGTCCACTCAACTTTAATTTGCGTAGACTTATTGCCTTTCAAAAATAAATATTTTATAACAGCTCTATACTTAATTTTTTCCATTTTCACAATCACGTCGACTCCTCCACGCGACTCTCAACTAAAATACCACCCTTCCAAAATGACTGAAATTTTGGTATAATACGACCAAAAGTATAGTGCATTTATCAGTATCTTAACCGGCGATCGACCGCATGACCGTGGTATAACCCACCCCAACAGATGTTTATTCTGTATTAAGATGGACCTGAGGTGGACCTGAGATGGACCGTAACGAATATTTGTAGAAATTATTATTTGAAACGTAAATGTTCATATATATTACGGTTGCATTTGACTGTGATCTTTCCAGTAAGTAGATATTTATATACCTGATTCTCGAGCTTTGACCGTGCTGCTGAGGCTGTTCTTACTGGATAGTCCAAAGGGTAAGGGTAAGTACCTGTCTCTATGTATCTTACAAATAAGTTTGAAAATAATCATTTTTGTCTTGTATGCCTGTCGATTAACAACATTCTTCTTCTTGTATTTTTGTGCGTTCTACATAGTTTTTCGATTTGTAAACAACAACAGTCAAAGACACAACAAAGACTATGGTTATATTCGCGGCATACGTCATAACAATACAGTTAAATATTTATTAGAATCTTACAATTAAAAATTTTTTGACGGTTCCTGTTTCTTAACACTTTAAAATGTGGAGACTGTGGAATGAAGCAGATGTTCCCCTGTTAAAAGAAGACATGGAAAACAACGCAAAATTTGGAGATCAAGTGGAGATAGTGGTCAAACCTAGAGACAATTTAGAAGACGAACTACCGCAGCAAATAAAAAAACGGATTGAATTTTTTGCAAATGCTAAACAAATTGTTCTAAATGTTTACAATTTTCAGAAGGGGAAGTAGGAGCAGCAATAAAAACAAGGGGAAAGTGAGAGGAGATGCTGGTACATTGCGAGTTTTTAATTAGGCGTATAATCTACGACGCTTCACATGGAAAACGCATAATAATTCTTCATGCTGGCTCCAAAAATGGTTGTGTGGAAGATGGCTTGTTTTTGTATGCCAAAAACGTCAAAGATCCAAGTACAGATTACCATGAAAACATGACTGCGGAAATATTTGAGGACTGCTGTTATTATGTTGGATAATGTCTCGTATCATTCATCCCAAATTAGAAAAAATCCAAATCCAAATAAAGAAGAAATTAAAGAATTTGATTTATATTCATATTTTGAAGAGAGCTACACGAAAAAAGAACTTCCGGAATTACTAAAAATAAAACATTTTAATAAAGACTACAAAATCGAAACTTCTGGATTCCTGCTGCGTCGGTTTTTGCTGAGTCGAAATTGCTGACGTTTCGCCAATCATCCTGTTGGCTTCTTCAGAGCTTAACTGAAACTGTCAGAATCCAGAAGTTTTGTAAAAAGTATTACAGTAGCATGTGGCAGTTTGTTTGAAAAATTAAAAATACGTAATTGAAAGCGTATATAAGAAGAAATAACACTGCACTAAAATTTAGTGATGGTTCCATAAACGTAATTCGGCAACAGGTAGCTAAAATATCAGCACAAAGCTGGTCTAACTGCGAAAAACGAGTAACAATAGAAGAAAATATTTATCGAGAACAATTAGTGGCAGAGTTGATAATTGAACTAGGTGACCGCAGTAGCGATAGTGACTTTACTTTATTAATATTTTGTATATTACTTTTATATATACTTTGTAGAAATGTATTGAAATAAAAGGTAATAAATTGTTACTTTGTACTAAATTTCTTATGTACATGTTTCAAGGGTCCTGGAATGGATACGGGTAAGGGTCTGCTTGGCAGGGTGTCTTATATGGGGCTGCGGAGTTATAAACAGTACGCAAAGTTAATCACGGGGTAGGTCGTAAAAGTATAAGTTTAAGTATAAGTAACTGTTTTAGCCACTAGTGCCGCCCTCTTCAGGGTGAGGTCGGAAACTTTCCAAGTGAACCTCGTATGGAACAGTATGGAAGACAGAACTTGACTTATTAGAAATTAATTATTATTAATTATAAATTAATAATGCATGTCATATTAAAATATTGTTCTCCTGGAGATCACCCATTTTATGTCGAGTATGATTAAGTTGTTTTCCCCCACCCAAAAACGCTTTCCTTTTTTTCCCGAAAGGTGTTTAAAATAAGAAATCTTTTCCCTAATGAGTAGGATAATTCCTAAATTCTTTAGGCCTGAAATCTGGCAGGCGTTTATTTTTTCCGTGCACTCTCTTTCCTCTGCGCCCCATGTAGTTTCGTAACGTAATTTCGCGCTCGTTTTCAGACCGGCTACATCAGATCTTCGGACAGCAATTACTACATCGAACCCGCGGAGAACTTCACGTCCGGCAACATGGACACAATCCTGCACCGCATTAAACAATTGCCACACGTCGTCGGCAAAGATACCAACGAAGTGCTCGATCTGGGCGAATTGGAAGCCAATTACGTCACCAACGGTAAGCGTCGAACATGATATTTTTGTGGGTATTAGGCGATCGCGGCACCTACGCGAGTCGCACCTGTGATTCGAGTTAGGAAATCGCCCGTAAATAATCGTTTTATTTCTATGTTAATTCCGTGTCGAAACGTCCGAAGACAGATATTAAAGTTTTCGCAATGCGACGGTTGCGCGAGAGAAGACGGAAAAAGTCCTGATTACGATGGTGAAAGTAGAAAAACCAGCGAATGTAGGGTTTAGGAAAAATGAGGAAAATGTACTCCTCTTAAATGGAAGACACTGTATATTTTTTGAATATAATAATAATAATAATATTAATATAAATAGGACTGAGGTGGCTTTTACTTGATGAAAATCGATTTAACACAAATTAAATTAGAACAAATAATGTTCAGATCGTTGCCAGCTGTTTCGGAAACACCGTGCCTTTATCAAATGCAAAATATGACTATATTCCGACACTCATATATAAAAACAGATGGTAACAGATTTTTAATTACAGGTATAGGGTTATAAATTTAAATTTAACAACGGAGACGCATTTAAATCCAATTGGTCATTAAGTAATAAATTCGAACATCTCATTTTGGTAATCTCCATAGCTTCCAACAAATTTTGTTTTTTGCTTTTTGAATAATTATGTTAAATACCAAAATTATCGTCAAAGTTGTGCATTTCTGAATTTAAATGAATGGCATAGTTATAATGCGGACTTTTATATTTTTATATGCCCTTTTATGTTCGTTAATGTGTTTATTAAATGTTCTACCTGTTTGTCTGATATAAATTTTGTTACAAGATCCACATTTCAACTTGTAGACTCAATCAATCAATACCAAATTTAAATAGATGTTTCGATATTTTCTTGCTAGGTTCTCCTATGTATTTTAGATAGAGTTCAGAGTTATTTGAAACTGCTTTAAGTTATAATCTTATCTATCAAAGAGGGGTCGTAACCATTGTTAAAACTATTTGTTTTATAATATTTAATTCTTTTTCAAAATTTTCTGTGGTACATTAAGTAGTCTGTTGATAAAAGCATAAAAGGCAGACATTTTGTGTGTGTAAGGGTGATTTGAGTTATGTATTATTGTTATGTATTATTGTGTTTATGGTAAATGGAAAAATCTAACTTGTTCTGTAGTTTAGTTATAGTTAAGTCCAGAAAGTTTGGAGAGTTATCTTCTTCCGTCTCTATAGTACATTTTTTCCGGTTATGTATCGGGTTAATATGATTCAAAAAGGACTGCAATTGTCTTTCGTTTCTAGTGAAACAAGTAAATACATCATCTACGTATTTATATCACCAGAGAAATCCTTTACTCTTACTCTTACTTTGTTTATGTATGATATTTTCTACATTGTTTATGAACATTTCTGCAAGTAGTGGACTAAGTGGGTTTCCCATAATTAATACTTCTTTAGCAATATAAAATTGACCATTAAATTTAAAATAATTTTGGTCTAAACAAACTATTAAACTATTTAGCAAGTCTTGTTTTATGATAGGATGTCTCTGCCTGAGAATATTGTCTATTTTGTTTATTACGTCAATTGGTGGAAAGTAGGAAATAAGTTTTTAACGTCAAATGAAACTAGAATTGCCTTAGGAGGATTATTTGTGTCTTTAACCTTAATTAGTTCGAATGAATTGTTGATAGTATATCTAGGTTTAAAGACAGTATTATATTCTAAAACTTTAATTAATATTGTTGAAAATTTTACTGATGGTGCTATTACAAATTTATATCGGACAAACAGGTAGAAGATTTAAGAAACGCATTAAAGAACATAAAATGGCGTGTAAAAATGAAAGTTCGGATTCTAACTATGCCATTCATTTAAATTCAGAAATGCACAACTTTGACGATAATTTTGATATTTAACATAATCATTCAAAAAGCAAAAAACTAAATTTGTTGGAAGCTATGGAGATTAACAAAATGAGATATTCGAATTTATTACTGACTGAGCAATTAGATTTAAATGCGTCTCGGTTGTTAAATTAAAATTTATAACCATATACCTGTAATTAAAAATATATTACTACCTGTTTTTATATATAAATGTCATTTTTCGTTTTAATTTAATTTGTTGTAATAATAGTATAGTTTATTCAGGTAGTTTCGACAAGGAAAATTACAAGAAAAGGCACAAGTGCATAAAACTATTAGCTAAAGTCGCGGCTAAAGCACTATTAGTACCACAATTTTATATAGAATTCTAGCAGTGCACAGTTCCTGCGTTCTGTAACTTCTCGATGTTTTTTTCATTTTTTTTCTCTTTAAATTTTACAACATAACCACGTTTTTAGTTTATTTGGAAAATTATTTATTGTCGCATTCTGAACGGAATGGGGCACGTCATTATATAGCTAAGTCGTAACGAAAGGATCTTTCAAATATACCAGATTGCGGGGAATTATGGCCCCTTTAAATCTTAGATTTAAGTTAATTTCTCAAAGAAACTTCCACAGGTTACTGTAATATTTTTTAGAAAACTTCTGGATTCCTCCGGCATCGGTTTTTGCTTAGTCGAACTTGCAGGAGGAATACAGAAGTTTTGTAAAAAGTTTAAGTTATTCACGTCTGTTCTAAAAGTTATTTTTCGTGATATTTTGTCCTAATTATTTTGAAATAAAGGCAACACCGGTGGATCAATCGCTGCGTCTTCATATTCGTCTATCCCGCTTGCTTCAGCTTGTAGCTGATAGGTCTTCCGCGACGGATGTCGTAAATAAACCTCAGCCAGCATTATTTAATCTCGTTGTGACGAATTAGCTGTCAAATAAGGCTAATATCACAGTGATTAAACACGGAGAGAACAAGAACATCGCATAAGGTTTTCTTTCCAGACTTCGAGTTAGAATATGCCTTGAGCCATACAACCCTTTTAAACGGCCAATAGCTTTGTATCTAAAAGTAACTCCAAATTTTTTGCCTCGTTTTGAAGAGGAAGAGTGGAATATTGTTTATTTTTATGATTAATTTAAAAGCAGTTTTCTCCATTTTAATGTTATTGTTTTATCTGAGCGTAAGAAACATGGAAATAAAAAAATTGAAAGAAAACAAAAAAACATAATTAATTTGTGGTTAACTATTAGAGTTATTTTAAGAGGTTTTCAAAAACAGCACCTGACATTTCACTAACCAACACATTTCTGAGTGCGTTTTCCTATTGAGCGAATTGCCTTTAGTATTGTTCTACTAAATATCTGGTTTATTTTTTCTCTTATGGTTGTCAAAAATTGATATGTGCATCGGCAGTTATGAGCTGGCTAGAAAACCATCCAGAATTTCAGTAATAATTGCAATGTACCGCTCAGTGGTCAGCGTGCTATCGTAAAAATATGGACCGACAATGCAAGAACCAATTATTATTATTATTATTATTATTACTGAGAATAAAGTGCAGAGGAAAACCTATTATGCACATTGATAGTTAGTAACACAACACATATAATAAACATTTAGTTATTGCTGTGAAACAATACACTGTCCAAGCGACGTTTAAATACAGACAAGTTCGGCGCACACATAACTTCTGGGGGTAAACTGTTCCAATAATTGAAAGTCCTGTTACTTATAAAATGCAGGCGATGTGAAGTCCTGAATTGGTCCTTCTTTATTTTAAATGGATGACCACGTAGGCGTTCATCATTGCTTAAGAACACAAGGGGCACGTCAGATGGAAATTGGTCATGCGCAAACCTATACATTTGAATGAGATCCCCTCGCAGCCAACGCTGCCTTAATGTTGGCAGACTAAGTATTTTGAAACGATCATCGTAAGGTGTATGTCTAAGCTGAAGTGGCCAGCGCGTAGCGGCTCGTTGCACTCTTTCCAGAACATCACAGTCACGCAATAGCCATTGGTTCCAGACTGGGGAAGCAAATTCCAAACATTAAAGTTGAAACGAACGGACCTCGGGGATGTACTAAATTTTCTATTTTGCAATAATGATGATTTTATGGTTAGTTTCCAATGCACCAGAATTAGATTTTTGAAATTTCGTTTGCAGATATATTTTTTGGATTGTTTAAATTTGTTTAATGCTTTATTTCTTAGTTTTTATAATAATTTTATCACATCATCATCCGGCCTAAAAATCTTCCGTTATCAACTCTTTTCAAAAATCGAGGAAATCGTTTCTTTTCGAAAGTATACTAAATTCGTGTCTGTCCGTTCTCCGTTCCTGGAAATATAAAAATAAAATAAAATAAAAAACGCTACCGAAAAAATTCTTAAACGAGAAGACTCAGAAGATTGGTCTTCACAAACTTTTATACCCGACAATTTTTCACAAATGTACAGGGTGCGCCGCATATTCAAAAATACTGGAAAAAGGGTCACCCTATTATTGAAAATTGACTATAACTAGAAAACTATATTGAACATATTAATTTCATTTTCAAGACAATATAGCCCGCATAAACAGCTAAAACTTTCGTATTTAAGGTTTTTTCCTATTGCACAGGGTGTTCAAAATATTCCGTGCTATATTGAAAAATTTGCGGGTGTGTTACATTTGCAGCTACCGACTTCGGATTTGGCAGAAAGGTAAAAGTCGACTCCTATGTTTCAACTGTCGGAATAAGACTCAAAAAACTTCAAAATAGTGTTTGCGTTATTTTGGGTTCCAGAAAAAAGTTACTTTCTCGAAAACTATTATCCCGATCGACAAAATTCTTGAACTAGGAACTGTAGAAGATTCGGAGCGGTAACTTTTATTTCAAGCAATTTTGGACAAAAATCTAAAGGACCCTGAAAATTCGGTTCAAACAGTATTATAGGTCACATCAAGAAGTACAATTTTTGTATTTACGGTTTTTGTCTTTCGCACACGCTGTTCGAGATATTTGAAAAAATCCGTATAAAAATCCTCGGGCTCAGTCTAGACGCGATGACTATTACGGCGCACTGCATAGTTTCGGAAAAAATATATTTTCTCGGAAACCACTTCCTGTGTTGGCAAAAATTCTTGGCCAAGGAAATGTG